AGTAGGAAGTCCAGTCAGGTGAATACTGAAGTTATCTAGTGGAGTGGAAGGAGTAACTTACCAGCTACACAGGGGATTGAAGAAAGACAAAAAGAAATAAAAACTTGCCGTAGGAAGAGCAGGACCTGCTGCCCGAGGGCTGTACCTGCCCCAGTTCTCTTGGGGCAGGTACAGTGGGTACAGTAGAGGCTCTTGGCCTCCTCTATGACCAGTGTCAGCCATAAAGACTGAAGGATCTGTGTTCTCCCAGATGCCTCGGTCCTGGGGGCTCTTGTTCATGTCCTGATGAGTACCAAGATTATATAAATCCTATAACTAGACATTCTAAGACAATAAGGAGAATGAGCTATCACTCCAAAGTCCTGTTTAGGAAAAAAGGAAGAGAAGGCTATATATTTTTTTAACATAAAATAATCATGGTAATGATAACAGCTAACAATCAATGACCAAGCATATTGCTGTGCATGTTAACAGGGTGCTTGTTTAATGAGACAGCAAAACAGCAAGCATCTGAAACCTCATCCAGTCCTAGAAGAGCTACAGCTTTTGATCTTTAGTGCTCCACTCCCAACCCCTCAACACTTCACTAATTCGGAGTACAGTTACCCTAACAATTTTATGTTTTCCAGGGAGACAGTCATGTGATCTGAGAAAAGTAAAATTTCCTCTCCTCTAAGTTGTCTAATGTGCTGGTCACACTTTGGGAACACTATTAAATAGTAAGCATCTGTTCCTTGATTCTGTTGTTAGTGTGAATTCTGGTGTTTTATGTGTATTTGATACATTGCTTATACTTTTTTTTTCAATCAGGATCCAACGTTGGATATTATCAAATACTTTTGAAGCATCCCTCATGTCCTACTAATATATTATTATATATGTTATCAATATATTTATATAATTAATATATTATACAATATATAATATATTGTATATAATATATATTGTATAATATGTAATATTAATATAGTATATAATGTTATATGATGTATTATATATATTATGTAATATAACATATTATATTACTATATTAGTAGCATCCTAATAGTGACATTCTGGAACTCCTGGATAAATCCTTTGTTCAAATCAAATATCTAAGCAGTAGTTCAGGAATGGCTTCAGTGTACTACAATTACTAAATCTTTCATATTTAAGAATGTGTTTTGGTTTGCTCTACAACATGTATGGAGTACTGGCCATGTGCAATTCTTGAGTCACATTGGTCTTTCCTCAGTCCCTTGAAGACATGGCTTCACTGTCTTTCTGGAGCAATTGCTTCAGTTGGTTTAAAAATAAATTGTTGGTAATCCATTTTTCTTTTCCTGCAGCAAATCTCCAGAATTAACTTTTAATTAGATCTCCAAATTCCATGAAGATATATGGAGTCTATTAAGTTTTCTTTAGTACATAGTGATGTTTCAACTTAAAATTACTAGTATTTTCCAAAATTGCAAATATTTTGTTGTTCTCATTTTAAGAAATGTCTTATAGACAAAAGAATATGTAAAATACATGTACTATTTAGCAAAAATCTACATAGAAGAGGCCTTTATAAGTACTAATTTTTTTTCTTACATCAACACTATACACTAGGTGCCATTTAACAGCTGAGCAAACAGGAACACAGACAGGTTAATGTAACCTTCCCAAGGTCACACAGCTAAGTGGAGCCAGGTAGCCTGGTTCCAAAGTTGTTGTCTTAACCATTATGCCATACTGCTTCTCTTTATAGTTCGTGATGATAAAGATGAACAAATAATAAGGAAAGCAAACACTCAGGCACTAGAACCCAGATTTAGAAACAGAACATTGCTTGTATATTAGAAGTGCTTTGTGTGAGCCTCCTTATTCATGTCCTCTTACCCAAGACAGAACCATTCTTCTCACATTTGTGATAATTCCCTTTCCTCGCTTTTACTTACAGTACTGCCATCCATAAAGGAATCTCTAAACAATACATTTAGTTTTAGTCTGTTTTTAAACTCGATCTAAATGGACTCTTACTATATACATTTTTGTGTGTGACTTTGCTTAAATTATTTATTCATTCTGATTATTTTACATAGCTTTAGCTAATGTTCTCTGTTGGTTCAGGTTGCTATCACAGAACACCATAGACTTGGTAGCTCTAACATCAGACATCTATTTCTCATAGTTCCTTGGAGGCTGGGAGTCTGAGATGAGAGGCAGCATGGTTGGCTTCCTGGTGAGGGCCCACCTCCTGCTTCATGGACAGCTGCCTTCACACTACATCTGCACATGACAGAGAGCATAGAGAGGGGAAGCAAGCTCTGTCATGTGTCACTTCTTATAACGGCTTTACCTTCATGACTTAATGACTTCCAAAGGTCCTCCCCCTCCTAAAGTTATCGCACTGGGGATTAGGCTTCAACACATGAGTTTTGGGGAGACATAAACATGACATTTTTAACATTCACTGTTTTCAGTTATTCTGTTGTCATAAATATTTCACAATTTAGTTATCAATTCTATTGCTGGTAACATATGGGTGGTTTCCAGTTTTTTGCTCTTATGTTCAATGTTACCTTAAAAATTATGAATTGTGGTGTACCTTTGCAAAGCAGATTCCCTAAGTGTATGTACCTACTAGTGGGTTTACTAAATTACAGTCTCTGTGCCTGTCCTATATTACTAGGTAGTGTTAAACTTTCTCAAACACCTGAACCAAATTACATTTCCACCAGTGGTATGTGAAATTTCCATTACAACACATCTTTCTAAAATCTCAAGCTATCAGTCTGCACTTTCTTTTCTCTCAAGTGGATGTTACTCACTGGAGCATTTTTAATCTCCTTTCCCCTGGATACTGTTGAGATTGGGTATCTTTGCTTGTTTACTCACCATGTTTCCTTTTCTTAAGTGCTTATTCAAGTCGTTTGCCCATTTTTCTGGTGGGCTTAGTGTTCCACAGACACTGTTTTCCAGATCTAGGTTCTAGTCCTGTATGGGCCATGTGTTGCAAAGATCTCCTCCCAGTATGTCACTGTTTTTGTTTACTTCCTTTTCGATACCTTTTGATGACTGGGAGCATTTCATTATTCTTCCACTATTTATTTTCCAGGTGGTTTTTATGTTTGTTTCCTCATTCTCCTGTTTTTGTTTCACAACTTTATTTCTTAAACCTCTACATAGTTTCCAAATTTGTCATTTTCCGTGTATCTCTTATCTTGAATGAGGGCAGTTCGGTCTGGAGTTTGTATTTGTCTAACAGTGTGAATGGCTCCTGTTTTGCCCTTTATATTGCTTACTGGGTAGAGCTTTGGTTGGACAGTTGGATGTAATATAGTGATGGGGCAGGAGGCAGCCTCCAGTGCATGTGTTGCCTGTTGATATCCACACTTGATTGGATAGGTGCTTTTTGGGGTTACCTAGTGGTGTGTGTGTTTTAGAAGTGGAGCCTGTATGGCTTTCCACTTTTTCTCTTTTTTTACATAAGCAGGCCAGGTTGCAAGGAGGTGGTCTAGTTAATGCATACCTCATGCTTCATAGTAAAGCCTCCTGCCCACAGGCCTTTTTGTTGGTTCAGTATTGATCTTGGCTCTTGTAATTTTGATCAAGCTGACAGCTGATTCTCAGACTGTAGTTTTCTGTCCTCTGCCTCTCATTTCTCCTGGCTGTTGTGTCTAGGATAAGAAGTAGGAGCTGAGAAAATAAAGTCTGAGTGGTCACAAGGTCCCTCCTTCAAGGCCCTATCTCAAGTAGCTCAACAGATCCTGCTTTGCCTCTTCCTGCCACCAGTTCACATCTCTAATGAATGGGTATTTAGGAAATGGTAGGGCCCTGTGGGCCCCTCTTACTTAAAGAGAATGAGAAACTTACAGCCTGTTGAAAGTTGGTGGTGAGGGGACCCTTTAGATTGTGTCATCGTCCTGTAAGTTTCAAGTAGGTTGGGGTATTTTATATTCCAAACAAGTGTGCTTCTGAAGGGTAGTTTATATGCATTATCTCACTTAATCCTCATCTGATTATTTTTACCTTTATTTTATATCTGTGAAAACTAAAATCCAGAGAAACAACTAGTTAAGAGGGTAAGTTAACAGCCAGGGTTTAAAGCCAAGTGTGTCTGACTCCAGAGCCAACAGTTTTTCAAGGTGTCACACTGCAGTGTTGTACAAAGATTTAGTGTCAGAATTAGAGGCAGCATTGCAGGGGAGAAGAAACTGCTGGTGGGAATACCAGGACTTTCTCATCTGCCTGCCCCGATCCCAGCTTATCTGTATTTCCCCTTCATTCCATCTTCATCATTCAGCCTTGTCCAGAGGTCAATGATTTCAGTGTCCATCCCTTCTGCATACACAGGCTTACTCTTTTCTCTGCTTACTACCTCCTCTAGTTCTTCTGTTATTTATGAACTGGTTCACTGTTCTTTCCCTCCCTTCTGTTTTTCTTCCTAACTGTAGACATCTCTGAAAGCTCTCACTTGTGCCCCACAGTTATTCTCAGTTTCTTTCTCTCATTCCCATCATATACAGTTTTTTCTCTTCCAGCACAGAAACCAATGTATATTTGAAATTTTTTTTTTTTTTTCAGACTGGGAAACAAGACTTGAAACCAGAGAATCAACGACAAAGCCTACCATTCATTACTGAAGATTTACCCTATGGGGTAATAATGGAAAGAGGTCTCTGGCCTTCTTTAGGGGAAGCCTGGGAACCTGATAATTGGTTAGATGGAAAAGAGAAAAACCAGGACAGACATCTGCACCAAGTGGCTGTTACTCATAAGGAAACCCTCCCTGAAAGGAGGGCATGTGGAGGTCACGAATTTGAAAGCTGTTCTAGTCAGAGGTCAATCCTTGATATACAACAAAGTGTTCCTGTGGGACAAAGGCCCCATAATCAGAATTCATGTGGCGAAGACACTAAACAGAATTCTGAATTAATTAAAGCTCAAAGTATGTTTGTAGGAAAGAAAATCTATGAATGTAATGAATGCAGGAAAACCTTCAGTCAGAGCTCATCTCTTCTTAAGCACCAGAGGATTCATACTGGGGAGAAACCCTATAAGTGTAATGTATGTGGAAAACACTTCATTGAACGCTCCTCCCTTACTGTACATCAAAGAATTCATACTGGAGAGAAACCCTACAAATGTAACGAATGTGGGAAAACCTTCAGCCAGAGCATGAACCTTACTGTTCATCAAAGAACTCATACCGGAGAGAAACCCTATCAGTGTAAAGAGTGTGGAAAAGCTTTCCGTAAGAATTCATCCCTTATTCAACATGAAAGGATTCATACTGGAGAGAAACCATACAAATGTAATGAATGTGGGAAAGCTTTTACCCAAAGCATGAATCTTACAGTTCATCAGAGAACTCACACAGGAGAAAAACCCTATGAGTGCAATGAATGTGGGAAAGCCTTCAGTCAAAGCATGCACCTTATTGTACATCAGAGAAGTCATACTGGAGAAAAACCCTATGAGTGTAGTGAATGTGGAAAAGCCTTTAGTAAAAGCTCAACCCTTACCCTACATCAACGAAATCACACTGGAGAAAAACCCTACAAATGTAACAAATGTGGGAAATCCTTTAGTCAAAGTACATACCTTATAGAACACCAGAGACTTCACTCTGGAGTAAAACCTTTCGAATGTAATCAGTGTGGAAAAGCTTTCAGCAAGAATTCATCTCTTACTCAACATCGGAGAATTCATACTGGAGAGAAACCTTATGAATGTATGGTATGTGGAAAACATTTCACTGGGCGATCTTCCCTTACTGTACATCAGGTTATTCATACTGGAGAGAAACCTTATGAATGCAATGAATGTGGAAAGGCCTTTAGCCAGAGTGCATACCTTATTGAACATCAAAGAATTCATACTGGTGAGAAACCCTATGAATGTGATCAGTGTGGAAAAGCCTTCATTAAGAATTCATCCCTTATAGTGCATCAGAGAACTCATACAGGAGAGAAACCCTATCAGTGTAACGAATGTGGAAAAGCCTTCAGTCGGAGTACAAACCTTACACGACATCAGAGGACTCATACATGAGTTTTTTCATTGAACCCTTCACCAGGATTAACTCTTCAGTGATAATCAGATAAATCATGTAACACAGAAACCTAATCAATGTAATTATTGTAGGAATCTTTTAGGTGAAGTATAAGTTACTATATCAGATAATACCACTGCAAAGAAACCATATAGAATAGAGAAATCTTAATTCAGAATGTAAAACATTCCTTTACACTGGAAGCTTTAAATAGCTAATGTTCTAAACAAAGAAGATTCATGAATATAAGTTCTATTGTATGTCATACTGTAGATCTTTGGATATCAGAGACTTCACACTGGAGAGAAAAGGTGAGAATGCTAAACTGGACAGCCCAAAGACCTGGTATATAGTCCTGATCTGCCACTAACTTGGACAAGTCACCTACTTTCACCAGGTCACAGTGTCCTTATTTGGTAAATGAAAGATTTTGAATTTAGAAGGTCTCCATGATCCCTATTAATTCTAAAATGCTATAAACCTATAAATATAACCAACACTGGTAAATCCTTGATCTTTTACCATGTTATATGTGTTATCTAGATGCTTCTATTCCACCATCTGGTTTCCTTGGATGTTTTGGGTCAAAATTCTCTACCTCTACCAAATCCTATTATTATCCATCCATGTTCCTCCCCCTCCTCCCATACTATTATTTTCTCCCGTAAATCATAGGCTGGTTGCTACCGGGTGATGAAACAATTGTACGGGTCATAATGCAATAGCATGCTATTTTTTGTTCTCAATTAATACTCCTTAAACTACTGTTAAGCAAGCTAATTATTTAGAAAACAGTATAACTTAAATATAGTCTCTAAGTACATAGGATTCAAACATGTATCTTTGTACCATACTCTGTGTCAAAATGAGAAAGAGAAAAGGCTAGACACTAATAGAAGAAAATGTGACATAGTAACAAAATCTTTGCAACTCAAAACAATCATAGGTTTTAGAGATCTCTAGTGATGACATTAGATTTAAATGAAATAAATTTCATTGATTTCATACATACTTAAAAAGTGCTAAGTATGTGATAGACATGATTAGAAGATCAAAATGGGTAAGATATATTCTTTGCTTTTTAAAAAAGATTTAATTTATTTATTTGACAGAGAGATCACAAGTAGGCAGAGAGGCAGTCAGAGAGAGAGGGGGAAGCAGGCTCCCTGCTGAGCAGAGACCCCCCCCCCCATGTGAGGCTTGATCCCAGAAGGCACAGGCTTAACCCACTGTGCCACCCGGGTGCCCCTATTCTTTGCTTTTTAAGGGCTAAACTAAAAACTGGCCTGGGATGGGAAAGGAGGAATTCAAGCAATAATGAGGCGGAATCTAGATAATGTGGTCATTGATTAAATGTAGGAACTTAAATTTACTTGGGTGGATGGAGTACCATAATTAAGAACACACAAAGTTGACCGATTTTGTGGGGAAATGATAAGTTCAGTCCGGGGGCATTTTAAGGAGTCTGTGGGTATCCTAGTGAAGATTCCTGACAGACACTAGAATAACTGGCAGGACAATTATGAAGGGTACTCTGAGAGTACTGTCATTGAATGGGGGAGGTAGAGGAAGTGGAACCAGTAGGAGCTGACAGGAAACAGCAACCAAAAGGAAAATGAAAAACAAGGAAAAATTAGAAGATGGTAGCACAAAAGTAAAAGAATTTCACCTAAGGTAAGAATAGTTAATACTTTCATATGCCATGGAGGCTAACCCATGAAATAATAACTCATTTTAAAGTGAGATAAAAATTTTAAATGGCCTTTGGTTTTGGTTACTGAAAGTCTTTGCTAAATATTAGTAGGTTGAAGAATGAGTGAAAGGACTCATTAGCTTGCCTGAGAAAGGAGACACTGAGAAAGATAACTAGAGGGAGACTGGCATTGAGAGCGGGTGTATCTATCAAAAGAGCTTTATGGCTGCAAATACTGGAAAGCCTGGTTAACGAGGCTTAAAAGCGAGCAGGGAATCCCCCCCCCCCCTTAACAAATCTGGAGGTGGGTGGTATTGTTTCAAAGCAAAATTCAGTATCTTTAGTTTGATAGCTTTTCCATCATGGTCACCATGGCTGCTCTGCTTCAGGTAAAGTATCCGATTCAAGGCAGGAAGAAGGAGAGTGGGAAGCACCAGCAACATCTGTGCCTTTTATTAAAAGAGGTTGTCCCAGAAATTGCTCAGCCAACTTTGGCTTGTATCTCACTGACCATAGCTGTGTTACATGGAGGCCAGCAGCAAAGGAGGCTGAGAAAATAAATACTCTTCCAGCCTCTAAAGTGGAGGTAGGCAAAGAAAAGGAGGTTTGAGCAAGGTGTTGATGTGGCCAGTACTCTGGCGAGAGTGTGTTTACCTGACGGCTGAAAAGAAAGATGTGGGAGAGTGGAAGGTACAGCATGGAGGGGACAGGCAGCTCAAAGTGGGAAAACAGGACTGGGGCAGAGGCAGAAGCTACAGGAACCTTTTTTGAAGGAAAGAAATTTTTCACCAGGAGAGGTGGGAATCAAGAAGTGATGGGTACAGAACACGTTTGTGGGTGGCAATGGAAGAGGCTCCCTATGGAACTGGGTCCCTGGGCAGGTCAGTCTCTTTGGGCTATGTGACCTCTAAGCTCTAAATCTTGGGGGCTGGAACAAAGACAGAGGGAATGAAACAACCTTATCCTCGGAAACTTAGATCTTTAATACTTGTCCCTTACACCTAGTTTCCTCCTCTGCCTTCACAAATTTTTTTCTAGAGGAGGCAGAGATAAGAGATGGATAGAAAGTAGATGAAAATGAAAAAGACAACAGCAAAATAAAGGGTCAGAAGGAAGGCACAGGACAAAGAGAAGAGGAAATATGAAACCTACTGAAGCCTAAGATAATGCAATAACTCAAAACTTGGTGAAACATTAACCTATACAAGAAGCAGCTGGAGAAATGAGTCAGCTATACAGAGGTTGCACTATTTTTTCAGGAGTTTTTGGATGCTTTAGGTCCCTGTATGTCAGTTCTCAGTCATTCTGGTCAACAAGTAAGGACAGTCTCTGCACCTCTTCTCTATCCCAGGGCCAAGACGCCAGGTTCGAGTTACTAGACATGAGACCTCGAGCAACAAACTGAACATCTGTGTGCTTCACTTATTGTTAGTAGTGCAAACTGCACAGCTTGGGATTACAGAAGATACCCATGTAAAGTACTCATAAAAGTGCCCAACACACAGTGCTCCGTAAACACATATTATCATTCTCATATACTTGAAAACAAAGTTAACACCCAGACTCCTTAGCATGGCATCCGGAAAATTATCTTGGAATCACTAGACCCTCAAAACAAATGCGGTGCACACACAAAGGCGGTATGTCTATGGGAGGCTGTCCGCCCCTGGGACTGTTATAACAGCCTCCTACCTGGCTTCCCTGTATTGCCCGGGTGCCACCGGAGTCTCTTATCCCCTTGCAGCTGACCAGCGATTCTGTCCAAATGTGCTCAGCCGCGTCACTCGCGCAGACTCCTTCGCTGGTTGCCCATCACACACGGAACAAATCCAAAGGTCTTCCGATGGCTTGCTAGGCCCGGGTCCGCTTGGAACCTACCGTGCAACGCTCCCTTGCCCACCAGGCCCCCTCCCGTCCCTCCAGCCTCGCAAAGCCTCCGGCTCACCAAGCACACACTTCAGTCTCGGGACCTCGCCATCCCCTCCCCTTAGACAGCTCTTCCCCACGTATTCACACGGTTTCCTACCTCACCGGAGTCCAGTCTCTGCTCACGTGCTCCCCTCAAAGAGGATTTCCCCAAACTCGACTTAACATCATCCCCACCCCACCCCCCACGCCCCCGTTCACAGGTTTCCGGACAGACACTAAGTGCGGGTTCCACGGCTCTCTCCCCAGCCCCCAGAACAGTGCCTGACACACACATGCTCCCAAAGTTGTCGAGAGGATGAAATCTCCCATAAAACCCCAAACAGAACGCCGTCGTGGGACCTAAGTCACTGACACCGCTTCCTAAGCCAACAGTCCCGACAAACCTCTGCTCACATTTTTTACTAAGTTCACCGCCAACAAAGTTAAAACCTCCCCTTCCTCCCCGAGCTTCGCGAAAACATGTGTTCAAAGGCAACTAAACACCCCGCATGCGATTCTCCATAGGTCACCCCGTCCCTGCCCGTCCCCGCAGAAAGGAATCCCACCACGGCCTCGGGGCTCCTTCCTGCCTCGGCGAGCCGCCGAACCACAGGTCCGCTAGACCTCCTCAGCGCTCCTCTCGGGTCCCGAGGCCGCCACCCTGGTCCCCGCCGCCGGCCCCGCACCCCGGCCTCGCGCCCCCGCCGGTCCCCCGGGCCACACCGCTACAATGGTTTGCGTCCTCCGCCCTCTCAAGTCGTCCCCGCGCGGTCCTCCTTCAGGAAGGCGCCTTTTGCGGCTTCTCACCTCTTACTCCGTCCTCCCGGACCGCCCCCGGTCCGCTCCCCGCGGTGATGGACCGACTTTATCCCGCGTCAATTTCTCGCTGGTCACTGCCTTTCCCGGGCGTTACTTCAGGACTTGAGGAGGACTCGGAGCCTGACTTGGACGGAACGAAAGCCCGCACGTGCTGCTGCTTAACGCCCGGAGAATTAGCTGCCCCAAGAGGAACGCCAAAGAGCCTGCCGTGGCCTCTGGGAAATGTAGTTTCAGCGCGCAAAGCTGCGGGGCGTTGCCTTGAAGGGCCGGGCTCTGTCTGCGCAGGCGCGCGGTATCACTTTCTCCGCCCCACGCAGGGGCTGGCCCTGGCCGCCGCTTCGCCCTCTGGGAAGTGGAGTCTGGGAAGCCGAAGTGTTGCTGCCCTCGGACTCCCGGGTACTCGGCTCAGCGGCTCCCCGGGCAACGCGCAAGCGCAGTTCCGACCTGGGCTGCCGACTCCAGCTCATTGTGTTCAGCCTGCGATGTGGCGGTTGCGGTTTCTCGCCGCGGGCAGAGGCTCCTCCAAGGGCAATCCTGTGGTGACCAGGTACGGCGAGCAGAGCCGCGTCGGGAGA